GCCGCCACCCCGCCGCCCCGTCACCCCTCCCCTGGACAGATCCGGCCTGGGTGGCAGGAGGCCGCCCTCGAGCCGGGGCTCAGCGTGTGGTGTGTGAGGCCGCCGCCGGCCCAGGCACGTTGTGTGTGGAGGCACCGTCTGTCCCTTTGTTCCTCTGTGTTTCTCGCCATTTCTCCTGCCAGCCCAGCCCCATCGGGAATCATGGTGAAGCCGACGTGGCGCGGCCGAGATGGGGGGGTCGGCGGGGGGGCCGGGGGCTCCCTGTGGGGGGATGCCCATGGCCATCCATCATCTTGTCCCTCATCCCCGACTGCCCTCTCCTCCCAGACCGCCACCCTTTAACACAGTCTGGATTTAATAAATTCATATGGGTGTTTAACTTAAACTCAACAACCTCCCCACCCCCTCATGCCTCCTTCCTTCTGGGCCACCTCGGGGAGTGATGTGGCCACAGGGCCAGGACGCAGCAAGGGCAGGACAGGAGCCCTCTGTCAGCAGCCATGCCCTGTGGGCCAGGCCCCCTCCCACCCTCCCGGCAGCCTCCAAGGGGAATTTGTAACCATCCCCATGTCACAGATGGGGAAGCTTGGAGCCCAGGGCAGCTGTCCCTCAGGGCTGCTGCGCCTCTGGGCCTCCCTGCCCACAGATTGCCCGCTGGCCTCGCGCAGTGCTGGACCAGAGTCTTCACCTCCCTCCCTGAAGTGTCAGGCCAGCCCACGTCCCCCTGTAGGTTCCAGGCAGGCTGCCTCACGTGGCAGACGCGAGACCCATGTGGCCTCACCGCTGTGAGCTGCTGCCAGGCACACACGCACATTTCTGGGGTGGGGTGGGGGGTCTGTGCAGGTGAGACTTCTCACAGGATGGACAGTGCCGTCTTGTACCCATAGGAGGTGGGGTGTCATTAGTGTCCCCGAGGCCCTGGCCGAGTTCTGAGTGAGTGTTGGGCAGACTCCCAACATCCTGGGCCCTGGGATGGGCCTCCCATTTTGTAGTCGAAGAGCCAGGCCTCTGGGCTTCCCTGAGGGGGTGGGGAGCTCACCTCCCAAACTTATTTTTTAGGGAGTAGTCTTATCCATACTGTGGGGAGAAGAATGCCGGGCTGAGGCTACAGGGCAGGATCACCAGGTCCCCAGAGGTCGCGTGACAAATGGCTTCCTTGGCCTCCCCCTGCTCAGGGCGGCTGGGGGTCTACTTCACGCCCTCCCCACTCTACATCATGTCCCACCATCCCCAGTACCCTGGGGAGAGGGCCCAGGCTCCCACCACGTCCTGCCAGGCCCCTGCAACAGAAGGGAGTGGTAGAACCCACAGATGGCGCCCCCCGCCCTCAACATGAGCCCTCAGGCAGGGGTAAGCAGACCCTTGAGGGACACAGATTCTTGGGCCACCCCAGCTGCCCTCACCATCCCTGGCTTCTCCAGCCCCACTCCCACCTTGGGCAAGGCCCGTCAGCTGGACCCGAGACCGCAGGACTTCCCCGTCACTTGCACTGCCACCACGCAGCTCAGGCGTCTCCTTGCTCTTTGTGGTCCCAACCCCAGCCTCCTCCCTGCTTTCCTGCCCCAGTCGCACCCCTCCTATCCACCCCCCGTGGAGCAGCTCGAGAGGATTGTGCAGCCCAAACCTGCCATCCCCTCCCCTGCCCAGAGCTCGCCATGGCTCCCCAGTATCCTCGGTGGAAGAGCAGGCTTGTGATTGGTGTGAGGCTTTGAGGGGAGGAAGGGTCTTACCCTGAGGGCCTCACCTTCCTTGCTTATCCCTTTACTCGGAACATACCCCCAGGCACACAAGTCCCCTTGCCTGCCTTGCCTTGGTGCATCCCCCAGGTCACAGTCCAATATCCCCTCCTCCAGGAAGCCCTCCCTGACCCACATCATGCCCCGACTGGATCTCCTATACTGCTTTATCTTCCGTAAGTAACCCCGTCCTCACCACCAGGCAGGTGTTTGCTCATCTCTTTTCTGCCCCTCCACCACTTGGATGTCGCTCCAGGATGGCACAGGTTTCTGTCTGTTGTGTCCCTTGTCATGTTCCCAGCTCTTGGAATGGTGCCTGGCCCTCATTAGGTGCGTAATGACTGTAAATTGAAGGGTCACACGACTCCTGTGGGACATATTGTTTATCCCCACCTAGCAGATGAGAGAATTGAGCTCTGATGGTGTAGTGGTTAAGGCATTTAGCTGCTAACCAACAGATTGGTGGTTCGAACCCACCAGCTGCTCTGTGGGAGAAAGATGAGGTAGTCTGCTTCTGTAAAGATTTACAGCCTTGGAAACCCAATGGGGGTCTCTGTGAGTCAGAATTGACTCAGTGGCAGTGAGTTGAGGCAGTCTGCTTCTGTAAAGATTTACAGCCTTGGAAACCCAATGGGGGTCTCTGTGAGTCAGAATTGACTCAGTGGCAGTGAGTTTCTTGTTTTGGTTGCCAGATAAGAGGAGCCCTGGTAGCACAGTGATTAGGCACTTAGCTGCTCACCAAAAGATTGGCGGTTCAAACCCCCCAGCCGCTCTGCAGGACAATGAGACAGTCCGCTTCTGTAAAGATGTACAGCCCAGGAAACCCTATGGAGCAGTTCCACTCTGTTCTGTAGGGCACCTTCCACCGGAAGGCGGGGGGTTTGGTTTGGGCTTTTCTTCCGTAAAGATTGAGACAGCCTTGGAAGCCCTCTGGGCCAGTTCTACTCTGTTGTACAGGGTTCCTATAAGTCAGAATCGACAATGACGGGTGCGGTTTTTGGTACCAGATAAAACAGAGAAATGATTTATCTGAGCTCACACGAAGTAATATGAACAAGTGTTTAGAACATAAGGTGCCGGGCACATGGAAGAGCTATGTGCAACTGATACTGTACTTAATCCTTCTGACCATGGTGTTGTGTTATGTACCGTCGAATCGGACCAGACTCATAGTGGCCCGTCCTTGGGTTTCGGAGGCAGTATCACTATGGAAGTAGATTGCCCCATCTTCTTTCTGAGGAGTGGCTGGTGAGTTTGAACTGCCAGGCTTCTGGTTAACAGTCAAGTGCCTTAGGCATTGCACCACCAGAGCTCCTCTGACCATGCTAGGAGGTGGCTATTAGTGGTAGACACGTTTTACAGACAAGGAAACGGGCTCCTAGTTGAAGTTCCGTGCGTGAGCTCACACAGCTGGCAAGTGGGAGACCTGGGATTGGAACTGCAGGCATCTGATTCTGGATCCTCAAATAGTCGGGACCACAGCCTGCCTGCCTCTGGTTTGTGTATGGTTTTGACATCTTTCAAGGTTTTTTTTTGGGGGGGGGGAAACAATATTCTTTGTTGTGTTCCTGACACAGGAGAGGTCTGTGGATTTCAGATTTCAATCCATAAATAATGTTTTTCTGGAACGCAGCCACACACTTGTTTCTGACTGCTTTTGCACTGTGACAGAGTTGGGACAGTCTGGCCTGCAAAGCCTACAGACTGAAGTACTATCTGGCCCCTTGCTGAAAACGTTGGCTGCTCCCTGCTTTGGTAGTGATGGCTCTTCCACTGGACTCTGGGGCCTGACTGCGTGTGTGTGCTGCTCTCCGCCTGCCTCCAGGTCATCGGTCCCCGTCAGCGGGGCCATGTTCCCTCCTTGTCTGCAAGAACCTTAGTTGTGTCACATGCCCCTGGTGCAGGTGGAAGGTGTGAAGACCCAGGTAAGCCCTGCGCTCAGGGCTCCACATACAGCGCTGGTGTGTACCGGGCCACGCTATAATGGTTGCCAGACTTGAGTTACTGAGCCTTTCAGCCAAAAGGAAACTTGAAGGGAACGTGGGAGGGGCAAAGAGCTAAATAAAACATTCATCCATTCATTCAGTAAACGTCGATTGGGTACAGACTGTGTTCCAGGCGCTGTTCTAAGTGCTGGGGATACAACAAGGAACAGAACGGACAAAAATCCGGAAGCGGACATTGTAGTCAATTACTTTAAAAGTTCATTAAAGGTTTGCAACTGAAGAAACTGAGGCATAGAAAGACCACGGAGGTTTTCTGAAGATCATCATCAGGGGCAGCGTAGATCTCTGACAATCTCCCAATCCTGCAGCTTCCCTTCCAGTCGGAGAAGCAGTAGGTTCCAGTCCCGCTGGCAGACAGGCCTCAGTTGTCTCGGCCAGAGCAATGGGCAGCAGCGCCAACCGGCCCCTCCCGTGCGCCCGGCCTCCTCTTCCCGACCGGCCCCGCCCTCAGGACCACGTGACGCGTGGGGGTTTTCCCGTTCCCCTCGTGTGACGTAACGGTGCGGCACGGGCCAATGGGCGCGCAAGCCGGCGGCGCCGGGGAATTCCGCTGCCCCGCCCCCGCCCGCCGCCCGCCTGGTCCGGCCTGGCTCCCCCCCGCAGCCCCGGGCACCGCGAGTCCAACCGGGCCCGCAGCCCCAGCCCTTGCGCCGCTCGTCCGACCCTCGATCGTTCTCCGTACTGTGCCGGCTGGCCGGCTGGCCTCGCGGCCTGACTGCGTGTGTGCTCCTGTCCGGGTCGGCCTCCGGGTCATCGGTCCCCGCCAGCGGGGCCATGCCGAGCCGCCGCACCGCCAGGCTGCCCGCTGAGTCGGAGCTGGGGTCTTTGGGTAAGCGGCGCCGGGCTTCGGGAGACGGGTTTGGTGTGGGGAGGGACTGGCAGTGCGGGGGCTTTGAAGGTCCCAGAGTCTTGGGTATTCTTACAGGAGTCTAGGGGTTCCTGGAGAGAGTGTGAGGGTTCCGGGGATACTGTGTCAAAGGGAGGTAAGGAGGCAGGGGATGGTAAGGGGGTCCAGCCCAAGGTAAGAGAGAGACTTCCCACCGTCGAGTGGGAAGGGGACCGGGCCTGGCCCGGAGGGCAAGAAGGGGGCGGGGCTGACCCGGAGAGGGAGAATGGGTGGGGCCTGACGCGGAGAAGGAGGGGCGGGAGCTGAGCCTATCTGGAAGGGGGCGGGGCCAGACTGAGAGCGGGCGGTATGTGGGCGGGGCTCAACTCAGGGAAGGAGAACAAGAGAGTGAGAAGGGGCGGGGCTGACCCGGAGAGGGAGAGTGGGCGGGGCCTGGCGCAGAGAAGGCGGGGCAGGAGCTGATACTGTCTGGAAGGGGGCGGGGCCAGACTCGGAGCGGGCGGTATGTGGGCGGGGCTCAACTCAGGGAAGGAGAACAAGAGTGCGAGAAGGGGGCGGGGCTCGGCCAAGGAGGGCCAGTAGGGAGCGGGGCCCTACTCCGAGAAGGAAGCAGAGAAAGGGGCGGGACCTGGGAGAAGGAGGAGGGAGAGCCACTCCCGAGGAATAGGGGATGGAGCCTGGGCATGGAGAGCGAGATGGGGGCGGAGCCCGGCTCTGGAGGGGACATAGGGGAGGGTCTGTGGTGAAAAAAGAAGGGGTGGGACATGACTTGAAGGAGGCGGGTGGGGCCAGGTGGGACTCGGAGAGGGAGACAAGGCCCGACTTGACTCTGACAAAGTTAAGAGATAGGGCCCGACCCTGAGAGGAGGAAGGGGTCTTGCAGGTCTGACTTTAAGGGAGAGAAGGAGCGGGACCTGAGGGTGATGCAGGGTGGAGTCCGATCCCCAAGAGTGAGAGGAAGTAGCAATGCCTGATCCAGCTGGCGGCCAGGGGGAGGAGCCTGATCCAAGGGGGCGGGGCCAGGAGAGGAGCGAGGGGGGGCCTGGGAGGTTCTGTGGGCCCCAGGCTGCCATCTCCTGAGACGCGCTTTCCTCTCTCCTGCAGGGTCTGCTGACCTTTCCTCGCTCTCGCTGGCCGTCTCCAGGACCACAGGTGAGCAGCCCTCCACAGCCCCAGCCCACCTGCGTGCAGGGAGAGGGTGGGCCCCTGTGGAGGCCGTGGGCACGCCTCTGTCCAGGAGGCTCACAAGGTCCACTTCCCTGTCCCTGTCGGACGATCTTTCCCTGTCTTTTGAGATGGATCTCCCGGGTGCCCTGACTTCCTGATTAGGTGCTGGCCACGTAAACCAACCACCAGTTTATGTCTACGATGAGCGCTCTGGCCCTGGTGTTGCTGGGGTTAAGTGCCCCCTCTCCCTCACTGTGAGAACGTCTGCAAGTCACTTCCCCTCTCCAGGCCTCAGTTTTCCTCATCTGTACGATGGGTACAATGCCAGTGCCTCCCTTCTAGGGGCTTTGAGAGATTACAAGGTAAACTTTCAAAGCAATATTTGGCACAAAGCAGACTCAATAGCGGTTGCCTGTTATAGGCTGCACAGTCATACCAGAACTGTTGTTCTTACTGTTGTTGTTATCAACAGTCTGTAACAGTGGTCCTTAAACCCTCCTGTGCACTGGAATCACCAGGCGAGCTCGCTGAAAACAGATCACCCAGCCTCACCCCCAGAGTTTCTGATTCAGTGGGTCTGGGTCGGGGCCTGAGAATTTGCATTTCACACAAGTCTCTGGGTCTCTAAGTGGCAAAGCATGGTTAAGCACTCAGCTGATAGCCTAATGATTGGCAGTTTGAACTCACCCTGAGGTTCCTTGGAAGAAGGGCCTGGTAATTTCCATAGCCCTGAAAACGCTACCGAGTGCAAGTCCACTCTACACACGTGGGGTCACCAGGGGTTAGAATCGACTCTGGCTGCTCGCTGGTCCTGGCAAGTTCCCAAGAGATCCTGGGAACTACTGGTCCCTCAGCCTGTGTGATCCAAAACTCAGTGCTGTTCACAGAGATGCAGAATCTTGGCCAAGCTATGACGTCCTATGAGTTGAGCTCATAGAT